ATTTGGCTGAAATAGATTCATAAAAATGATTAAATCTAAGAAAATCATCGGTATTTCTACCTGTCTGACCAACGTTTTGTTCAGGGATTTCCCTCTACTAGCGCATGCGCATAGCACACCATTTTTTTGTAAACAAAATGACTGGCCGTGTGAAGTAAGCGAAAGAAAAGTGTTGTACCGTGTCAGCTACGAAACGAAAAGTTGCAAAATGGTCAAAAGATAGCACAAGGAGTACGTTACGGAATCATGATTGCAGGTGGGTAGTATTCAAAAGGAGAAAATAACTACCGTAGCAGTTAGTACGGAGCAAGTATTCTTCCGGATAGCCGGTTAAGCTGAAATGGAATCGACAGATATGCTAGCGCTGTTTATGTTATGAATAAATATCTAACACTATTAAGCTCGCTAGTATCTTTGTCTGAGTTTGAACACAGATGAACTTAGTTTAATATGTTAATGGGCATGTATTGGAGAGAGTTTACTTTGTGTTTCTATAATTATACAGTGGTTTATGCGAAAGGAAGGGATAAGTGACTGGTTAGTTTGATTTTGCCATGAGGCCCTCCAAGGGATAACTGATGGCCCACGGCGTATTTTCTAGGCACCGAGATACGTGTTATCTAAGTCCGTAGATTTACATAATTTATAATATTACCGGGTTCAATTAAATGGTATGATTTAATTATATTGCTGAATTAAATGATTATGTTTGTTTTTACATGCAAGATTTAAATTAGTACTATATGAATACCTGGCCTCTTCTGCCTCGGCAATATATAAAAAAAAATCAGAAAGGTTTGTCCCTTGTGTTAAGCCACGTAACATCTGTACCGGCCACATTCCGGTACTAAATTCAATATATGTTTAAATATATCTACTTTATGTTGATGCCTATTATCATTGTTGACATTTAATTGTAAATGTATGACGGGAGAAGGCTGTGATAAATTGTAAAAACTTGTGCCCCATCCCTTGTTTAATTTTATTGGTAACACATTTATGTTTAAAGCTAAATAAATTTAAATTCTGAACATTGGCAAGTGTGCAATTAACTTCTAATGATGAATAATTATTGTTAAATAAGTTTGAATACGGACAAAGAAATCATATAACTTGGTTTCATAGTGCGGTAAGAAGTTGCAGTTGCCTGACAGCCCCTCTCTGGGTGCCCCTTTGGAAACCGTTTCATCTCGCTCGCACCACTTGTGTTTACTGCCTAGTCAGGTGACGTTATCGGCGCTATTTTCAGCAGGTCTTTCCCGAACAATTCAAGTGGTCAAACTGGACATTTGGAACGGACTATGAATATGGGGATAGCGAGGTAACATAAGTGGAAGTGCATACAATACATACATTCAAAACGCCTTTTTCACGTGATGTCCCTTTAACGCATACAGGAAACTCAAGTGGTTACGCCCACTTACATCCTCTGCACCCCTGGGATATCTCATGACGACATTGAAAGCTCTGTACGCTCTACCATGTACAAGTTTACTAGACTGATCCCTTGATGCACACCGAAAGAATCGCGAGGATAGGTGGCGAGAAAATGAACTGGCTTTGATGTCGAGTGTCTCTCCTCTATAATACTCAAAGGACAGGTATCAACCCAGTGATTTGACAGTTTGTTTTCACCTGAAGTCAACCAAATAGATTAACGCCTGCCTTCGATTTAACGATGACATATTCCAGAGGTTAAAGAACGTAAATAAGCGTAACAAGTATATATTCAAACAGATTATCACTGTCAACTTGAACCAGTTATAATGTATGATAAACAAGAAGCCCAATGGGCCTGCATCGCTTACCTGTATTAATCTCACATTTGTAATCTTTAAAAGGGACTTAAATACAGCTACAGGCAGAATGTCAGTGTTTGATTCATAAGAACCAATGAAAATATTTAAACATATGACGCCTGTGACCTTGAATGTTGAACAAGGACATTAGGTTGAAAGTGGGTCAAGGTCATTCATTTGAATAAACTTGGTAGTCCTTTATCCCAGCATGCGACAGGCCCAATTTCAGTACCCTGCGCTATTTGGTTATTGAGGTAAAGTAGTTTGAAGATTTTAAGACATTTGACTTCTGTGATCTTGAAAGTGGGTCAAAGTCATTCATTTGAACAAATTTGGTATCCCTTCATCCCATCATGCTACAGGCCGAATATCAGTACCATGGGCCTTTTGGTTATTGAGCAGAAGTCGTTTGAAGATTTTAAGTCATTTGACCCCTGTGACCTTGAAAGTTGGTCAAGGTCATTCATTTGGACAAACTTGGCAGCCCTTCATCGCAACATGCTACAGGCCCAATATCAGTATCCTTGGCAATTTGGTTATTGAGGGAAGTCTTGTGAAGATTTTAAGACATCTTACCCCTGTGACTTTGAAAGTGGGTCAAGGTCATTCATTTGAACAAACTTGGTAGCCCTTCATCCCAGCATGATACAGGTCCAATATCAGTACCCTGGGCCTTTTGGTTATTGTGAAGAAGTTGATTGAATGTTTTACGACAGTTGACCCCTGTGACCTTGAAAGTGGGTCAATGTCATGCATTTGAACAAACTTGGCAGCCCTTCATCGCAACATGCTACAGGCACAATATCAGTATCCTTGGCAATTTGGTTATTGAGGGAAGTCGTTTGATGATTTTAAGACATCTTACTCCTGTGACTTTGAAAGTGGGTCAATGTCATGCATTTGAACAAACTTGGTAGCCCTTCATTTCAGCAGGCTACAGGCCTAATATCAGTACCTTTGGCCTTTTGGTTAATGAGAAGGAGTTGTTTGAAGATTTTTAGACATTTAAATCTTCGGGCCAGGTGAGCTAAAAATATCAAAGGTGATGCATTTGCAGTTTAAGTAATATAACATTTTTTATTGAACAATTAATAATCACTATTGAAATTAACAAGCAATTACTACCTGTTGGATTTTTCTGTCTCCATGCAAGGTAATTGTTCATCCTTGGGTTTCGACGTGACTCCAGCAGAAGTCTTTCGTAATCAATGTCCTCCCTATGACGGATGAAAAGCTCCAACAGGGCCAGAAGATACGCATCATCATTTACGCTGAAGTGACAAGCCTGCATAAGAGGGGTACGACTTGGTTTATATTTATTAACCTGTGACAGAAGGAAAGCGTGTGTTTGACAGAGACGAGGTATAGCTTCTGCCACGCATAAGGCATCATAACTGGCGTCATCATCGACACAGTAGTGGTATATGTTATAACCATTAGTGTCGCTCCACGTGGCCAGGTCAAGGCCGTCACGGACCCACGCCTCGATCTGGACAACATTACCCTGCCGGATAACACTCTCCATCGCTTTTTCACTCAACTTCAGATCAGCCCTCGTAATTATGACTGTAACAAACAATACAAGAACACAAAAATATATACAGTTGTTTCACAACATAACGCACCAAAATGGCCGTACGCACATCTTGAATACATTGTGTGCTTTTAGTGCGCATTACTGTCAAATATAATAATGTATCGTACCATTGTGCGATAAAATGCGCACATCTGTACGATATGGTAAGTTAACGGGGGTAAAAACTGGAAGGCTCGAGTAAAATAAGGTACATAGTATACGTATTTAATATCCAATCGGCGGTGTGTATTTCAAATTGCTGTGTTGTGTTCGTCTGACTTGGGACTGGAAATCCCGTATTTACATGAATTATGCATTTGATTATGAGTAATTACTTGGTATGTCTGTTCGCATTGATATCATTGAAGCAGAATTACATTCCTGTGATGTTATATATCTATAACTGAAACACATCTGACTGACAGCACACCAGATAATGAAACAACAATAGACTCACACACCGACATCTCCCATCATAAAGATAGAACTATCGATTATGGAGGAGGATTAGTAATTTATTACAACAAGAGGCCCAAGGGTCTTAGCGGTCACCTGAGTTATATCATAGGTACTAGTAGCTCTATTTTATTGTTCAGATGTGATGTGGAAATCAGCATGTAAACTAAGTGAAATGCAATACTTGTCATGTCATCAAAGGATAAGAATTTGAAAATATTTGTAAATGTACCCTGTGGGGCCCCGCCCTAGCCCCTGGGAATTACAATGTAATACCCTCATTCACCAAAGATGATTCTAACTAAGTTTGAGTAATTTCTGCTGAAAATGGATAAAATATACCCAAAGGTGTTATTTCCCAATATAAACTATAGAAAACTTTACCCCCTCCCCAAGGGAGAACGGATAGCTTGGGGTTACTGAAATTTACAATTTAAATAAAGCCCATGATGATTTTCTTTCCAGAAAATGACTGTTGTACCTCTGAGTGTGGAGAAGAAGATTTTTGAAATATTGGCGAGTTTTCCCTTTGGGGCCCCGCCCTGGTCCCTAGGGGTTGGGGTAGGAATCTCAATTTTACAATTTGAAACAATCTTCCTCCAAGGATAGTTCTCACCAAGTACACATAATTTCCTACAAAAAATTGTCAGAATATATCCAAAAGTGAAATTTCCCTATATAAACTATAGTTAACTTTACCCCCTCCCCAAGGGAGAACGGATAGCTCGGAGGTTCTGAAATTTACAATTCAAATAAAGCCCCTGATGATCTTTCTTTCCATGCCGAGAAAATGACTGTAGTACCTGTGAGTCAGGAGGTTAATTTTCTCTTTGGGGCTTGTAGCCTAATCTACCAAGGATGATTCTGACCATGTTTGAAAAAAATCCATCCACTGGTTCTTGAGGAGAAGTTGAAAATGTAAAACCATTACGCACGACGCACGACGAACGACGATGGACGGAAAGCAATTAGAATAGGTCACTTGAGCAAAGCTCAGGTGACCTAAAAATATTGTTAAAACTTTAAGAAGAATGGATGTATTTATAGACCAGCCTCAACTGTAGACTTTTGGAATGAGTTGGATGATTATTTAACCATAGCTACAGATTCAAATCTAGACATTATCCTCACTGGCGACATCAATGTTGACATGTTAAGCATACAGCCTAATTCACATCTCTCAAGACTCTGAACTAAATTTAATTTGAAAAGTATAATTAATCAACCCACAAGAATTTTTGAAAATACCTCAACAGCAATCGATGAAGTTTTTACTAACAATCGTAATTTAATTAAAAATAATGCTGTTGAAACACATTTTTGCAATGACCACTCACCAATATTTATTGAAATATCATATACTACATTTAAGCATACATGCTACAATAAAAACTATTTGGTACTATAGTGAGGCTGATTTTGAATCAATGAATATAATTAATGATATCGACTGGCAATCTCTATCGATCTGTTTGAATGTAAACAACTTCAATAAGTATTTAACTGACACTATAGCAGATCAAATCAAAAACCATATACCTCACAAAACAGTACTTATACGACCAGACGATAAGCCATGGATGACAAGCTCAATTAGACTCAAAAAGGGACAAAGAAATAGAATACATAGAAAAACAAAAATATCAAATAACCCACAACACTGGTTAGCATATAGACAGACACTTAACATTGTAACTGATCTAGTTAGAAAAGTAAAATTAAGTCATTTAGAGAAAATTCAAACTTCTCTTGCTAATAAAACGATACCTCCAAACAAGAGGCCCAATGGGCCTGCATCGCTCACCTGGTATTAATCTTACAATTGTAAACTTAAAAGTGGACTTAAATAAATAACCTTTGACCCCTGTGACCTTGAAACTCAAACATGGACATTTTAAGTTGAACAAACATCATAGCATCATACAATGCAACTTGCCGAATATCACCACCTTATACCTTTTTTATCGAGAAAATTACTTTTAAAGATTTATGCACTATGGACAAGAAGTCGTTTAAAAATTCATTAATTTGAACAAACTGTGTTGCCCTTCCTGCCAACATCCTTCTGACCAAATAGCATCACCTTGGACCTTTTGCTTATACAAAAGAAGTCGATTAAGGTTTTTAAGACAATAGACCCCTGTGACATTGAATATGAGTTAAGGTCATTTGTTCGAACAAACTTGGTAGCCCTTCATCCCAGCATGTTACTGGCCAAATAACATCACCCTATGTCTCTTGGTTATTCAGAAGTCGTTAATCATTATCATATGCCTCTTGGGTATTCAGAAGAAGTTGTTTACAGGTTTTCAACATATTTAACTCCTGTGACCTTGAATATGACCGAAGGTCATTCATTTGAACAGACTTGGTAGCCATTCATCTCAGCATCTAACTGGCAAAATATCATAACCCCAGGCCCCTTGGTAATTTAGAAGAAGTCGTTTAAAGGTGTTAAACATATTTGACCCCTGCTGCCATGAATATATGTCAAGGTCATTTGTTAGAACAAACTTAGTTGCCCTTTAACTCAGCATGCTACTGGCCATATACCATCATCCTAGGCCTTTTGGTTATTGAAAAGAAGTTGTTTTAAGGTTTTAAACATATTTGATCTCTGTGACCTTGAAAATGGGTGAAGGTCATTCATTTGAAGCAACCTGGTAGCCCTTGATTTCAGCATGCTACTGGCAAAATATCATCATCCTAGGCCTTTTGGTTACTGAAAAGAAGTTGTTTAAAGTAAAAAGTTGACGGACGGACGGACGACGGACGCCGCATAACCTCCATTTCAAGGTCTTGAACAAAGGTCAAGGTCATTTTCGTTCTCAAACTTTGTCGGGCTCCTACCATCAAATATTTCAGCCAAATATCATGGCTCTATGCCTGACTGTTCTCCAGAAGAAGTTGCTTAAAGGAAAAGTTGACGGAAGACTGACGGACGACGGACGCAGCACCATGACATAAGCTCGGGCAGGTGAGCTAAAATAATTATACTGTTATCATGATTGATTAATTCCAAAATTAAGCGTCAAATACATCAACATCTTATATCTATAGACATTCGTTATGTAGAGATCCTTAATTTTGATGAAATATAATTGATATAGACATGTAGTGATATGTAAGTTTGACTCACCTCCATCAACGATCCTTTTAATAGCGTTTTCTTTTTCAGTCACATAACTCTCCAGGTTTGGATTTGTAAGTTTAAGTTTCCGTACAAATTGTGTGTAGTCTCCCTCAGCTATAATAGCGTATTTCATAAGTCTGTCGAATAGGTCATAGATGTTTTTAATCGAAGCAATGTCGACTGGGGTTAATGGATTATTTTTGAACAGGTTCTTAAGATCATTTAATTCGGTATCCACAATATGTCTTCCAAGATATAACACCAATTCGTTGTGGATATCTAGGGCCTCTGTTGGAATATTTGAAGCCATTTCGGATGTTTCTGTACAAACCTGAAACATCAAGTGTAGCAACTCTGATGACAATACCTGGAAACATTTAAGGCAGTATATTACAAAAACAGGGATAATTAGTGTTTTTCCCAGGTTTTGAACAAACAAAAGACCAATTGGGCCTGTGTCGTTCAACTGGTATTAATCTCACACTTGTAACTTTAAAAGTGAACTTAAATAAAGCTACTTGCAAAATAGTAGTGTCTTGAAAAAGAACTTGTGAAAAGATTTTAACGCTTTTGACCCCATTGAGCTCGAAAGTCAAAGAATGACATTACTTTGAACACAATTTTAATTTATAGACCTTTATCCGTGAATACAACCTGCCAAAAAACACCACCCTAGATCTTTTGTTTACTGAGGAGATGACTTTTAAATGTTTAAATACACAATTCACATGATATGAAATTGAAATTATCAATGTGTCAAAGTCGTTCACATGAACCAACGTGATTGCTCTTCATCTGGTCACATGTCACTACCCTTTGCATTTTGACTATTCAGAAGAAGTCATTTGAAGTTTTAAATTTGACTACTGTGTCCTTGAATATGGGCAAAGGTCGTTCATTTGAACAAACTTGGTAGCCCTTATCACAGGAGGCTTCTGGACAAATATCATCAGTAAAGGAAGTTTGGGAAAGAAAAATTATCCATCTTTCCAACGGTAACAAACATTTTTTCGTACAACAAATTTTATACCTAGAGACCCATACTCGTTATCAAGCAAGGGGAAACTAAAATGTGGCCCTTCCTTAGAAACTATAGTCGGAAGAGAAGGGAAAGATCTCAAAACCTGATTTTTTTATCTCAATTGAAAGCTTTTTAACTTGCACTGTCAGCTTTACTTCTGACTTACCATAGCTTATGCTTGACAATGAGAGGCAAGTAGGTCACATAACCAAACACGAATATTGATTATAATAGGGTGACGATTATATTCTTTCACCCTAACCTAGTTGTTGAATGATTTAAAATGAGATATGGCACTGCTAACTAGATATAAATAAAACAAGCATACTAAGTATTGCTAAAGCAATACATGTCCCCTACCGGTCCCTGCTAGCTAGTACACTGTAATGATTTTAAAAAAATGGTGAAAAGTATAAAATTAGCTTGTAACTGATTTTAATGTAATAATAATACAAAAAATTGTAATGTTAGTATTATAATAGAGAAATTATATAAATAAAATGATTAACAACCCTGTAACTCGAACTTATCCGAGATATTATGGTCCTTTGTAAATGTGTGAAGTTTGATCCAAATCCCTCAAGGAATGAAGCCGCTAGAGCGCTGACAAGGATTTTTTTTAAATAGTAACGGTGACCTTGACCTTGATCCAACAACCCTGAAACTCAAACTTATCTGCGATATTATGTTCATTGGTAAGTGTGTGAAGTTTGATCAAAATCCCTCAAGGAATAAAGCCACGAGAGCGCTGACAAGGATTTTCTAACAAGAGGATCAATGGGCCTGCATCGCCCACCTTGTATTAATCTCATACTTGAGAAGAAATTGTTTAAAGTTTTAAACATATTTGACCCCTGTGACCCTGAAAATAGGTGAAGGTCATTTCTTTGAACAAACTTGGTATTATCCCAGCATGTTACTGCCCAAATATCATTATCTTAGGCTTTTTGGTTATTCAGAAGAAGTTGTTTGAAGGTTTTTAACATATTAGACCCCTATGACCTTGAATATAAGTCAATTACTTTGAACACACTTGGTAGCCCTTTATCACAGCATGCTACTGGCATAATAGCATCATCCTAGGCCTTTTGGTTATTGAGGAGAAGTCGTTTAAAGGTTTTAAACATATTTGACCATCGTGACCTTATACATTTGTTAAGGTCATTCATTTTAACAAACTTGGTAACCCTTTATGCCAGCATGCTACTGGTCAAAAATCATTATCCTAGGCTTCTGAGTTATTCAGATGAAGTTGTTTAAACGTTTTAAACATATCTGACCCCTGTGACCTTGAATATTTGACAAGGTCATTCATTTTGACAAACTTGATAGCCCTTCATCACAGCTTGCTACTGGCCAAATATCATCATCATTAAAAAATAATTGAGAAGAAGTCGTTAAAAGGTTTTAAACATATTTGATCCCTGTGACCTTCAATATACGTTAAGGTCATTCGGTTGAACAAACTTTGTAGCCCTTTATCGCAGCATGTATCTGGCCCATATATCATCTTCCTGGGCATTTTGGTTACTGAGAAGAAGTTGTTTAAAGGTTTTAAACATATTTGACCCCCATGACCTTGAATATTTGTCACGGTCATTCATTTTAACAAATTTAATAGCCCTTTATCAGAGCATACTACTGGTCAAATAGCACCATCCTAGGCCTTTTGGTTATTGACAAATATATTTGACCACTGTGACCTTGAATATAAGTAAAGGTCATTCATTTAAACACACTTGGTAGCCCTTCATCCTAGTATGTTTCTGGCAAAATATCATTATCCTAGGCCTCTTAGTTATTTAGAAGAAGTTGCTTAAAGATTTTTTAAGACAATTGACCCCTGTGACCTTGAAAAGGGATGAAGGCCATTCATTTGAACAACTTAGTAGCCCTTCATCCCAGCATGCTACTGGCCAAATATCATCTCCTTGGGCATTTTGGTTTTTCAGAAGAAGTTGTTTAAAGTTTTTAATATATTTGACCCCATGTGACCTTGCAAATATGTGAAGGTAATTTATTTGAAAAGACTTGGTAGCCCTTCATTAGAGCTTTTCACTTTTTGTGAAAAGGCCTATTGTAAGCAAGTGTTTTCTTTTATAAAAGCACTGGAAACAGTCTTGAGTGTAATCAGCCCAACAGAACTCAAAATATAAGAAGTGCATTTTATAAACTGATTTTCTATTCACATAGTAACAGTGATAGAGACCTAAACCCCGGGCCTGGGAAGTTATCCCAAGCACTGGATAAAGTCAAGAGTGTAATCAGCCCAAGATAAATCAAGATAGTGTGCATTAGTGCATTAAACAGATTTTCTATTTATAGTGACCCATTGACCTTTGACCACTCACTGGACCTGAAAAGTTATTTCAAGCAGGCACTTTCTTCCAGGAAGGACTCGATACAATCTGAGTGTAATCAGTGCAACAGAATTCGAAATACAATGCACCAACTGATGTTCTATTTATAGTAAGTGACCTTGACCTTTGATATCAAAGGCTGAAAAGCTATCCAAAAGCTTAAGCAAACATTTTATTACACTGGATAAAGTCTGAATGCATACGGCCCAAAAGAGCTCCAAATATTGTGCATGAAATGTTTTTCAATTTTTAATAACATTAACCTAAAACTTTGACATCGATGCCTCAAAGGCTACTATTTGTATCCTAAGCATATACTTTCCAAAGTAAACAATGACCTTAACCTTTCACGACCAAAGCACCGAAGCAGGCACTTTCTCCGAGGTAGCACTTGATAAAGCCTGAGTGTAATCATCCCAACAAAATTGGAAAAATTGTGCCTAAACTAATTTTCTATTCATAGTAACAGTGACCTTGACCTTTGAACCCCGGGCCTGAAAAGCTATTCAAATAAAGCACTGGTTGAAGTCTGAAAGCAATCCAACCAACATTACTGAAAAGTGTGTAGAAATTGAACAAGACGCCCAAGGGGCCTGTGTCGCTCACTTGCTTCTAATGCAACTTTGAAGCTGATCTAGGTCATTTATGTGGATGCTAAGCTCATTACCGCTTTATTCAAATATAACACAATAGACCCATGTGACCTTGAATGTAGATCAATGTCATTCATTTGAACAAACTTGGTAGCCCTTCATCCCAGCATACTACAGGTCCAATATCAGGTATCAGGGCCTCATGGTTATTGAGAAGAATTTGTTTAAAGATGATAGCACATTTGACCCCTGTGACCTTGAAAGTCGGTCAATGTCGTTCATTTGAACACATTAGTAGCCTCTCATCCAGGCATGCTATAGGTTCAATATCATGGTCCTCTTAGTTATTGAAAAGTTGTTTTAAGATTATAGCACATTTGACCCTTGTGACCTGGAAAAGTCGGGCAAGGTCACTTATTTGAACAAACTTGATAGTCCTTCATCCCAGAACGCTACAGGCCCAATACCAGGTCTCTGGGCCTCTAAGTCATTGAGAAGAAGACGTTAAAAGAGACAAATTGACGCCCGAGGTCCGGACAACGGCCAGACGACGGACGCCGCACCAGGGCAAAAGCTCACTTGTCCTTGGCAGGTGAGCTAAAAACAAATAAAAGGACAGACAGACGGAAAACCTGATTACTAAAGATGTGCAGGGGTCCTAACAACAAATTGTGTAATTGAATTGGAGAATCCCCCTTTGGGATCCCACTCCTCCCCCTAGGGAGCCAAAGTATTATGAGAAAGACCCTATGTTAAACGGCATTCAGTCTTCTTAATCAAGTATAACGCTCCAGACCATTGGTTTGAAAACATCATCAAACCATACAGAAGGACTTCAAAGGATGTACTGTATTAGGTGATTTATGTCCTCGCAACAGCCAGGGTCATATGAGGACGGTTGTAAAGGAGAATTTCCTATGTGCAAAGGGCTATAACTCCAGAAAAAATAAAGCATTGACACTGGATTCTAACTCAAACTTTAATCCGTTATACATGTATACTAAGTTACAAATAATATAAAAAACAGTTAATTATGAGAATTTCCTATGTGCAACAGGGCCATAACTCCAGTCAAAAATGGAATATTAATACATGGTTCAAACAATGTAATCTTACGCGCCTCAGACTGTCCAATATTTTACATAATAGACAGTTTGAGGCTTATATCTTACTTAAAACATGTCCCCTATTGTATCAATTGTGATCAGTGTTTTGGTGCATTGTGATAATATTGGACAGTTTCACTATGAATCAATTACCGTGAAAGCTATTCATAACATATTGGACAGTTTTTCAACTACACTGTATACTGAGGTCAGTCATGTATATCAATCTCACTTTGCATGATTTGTATGCA